CTCTGCCTCAGACAGAAGCTTCCTTTCCCACTAAATACTCTGCTCTTAAAGAAAAGAAAAGAATGAACATTATCTGAAAATGTATATGTGGCATTCATCAAGATAGGGTGACCATGAAACAACACTCAGTAAACTTCCATAGACAAAAGCTATAGAGCTCTAACCAAAATAATTTAATCATACTTGAAAAGTAAAAAGATTCTCAAGTCAATAGTTAAACATAAAAGTTGACTAAGATGATTATAAGAATTCTGCTTGGAATTACAAAATGTCTAAAGGATTAGGATTACATAGAGACATGGCTACTTTTAATTTTTACCAATATATAAAAATTGTATTTACGTGTCACCATGTGATGTTGACATCTATACTGCTTAAATTGGTTTAAACAAAACTATTTCTTCAAATGTTGATCATTTCCTTCTGGTGAAACATACAAGGATCTTCCTTCTTTATTCCTTTAAAAATGTAAATTAGGAAGGAAAGTGCTCTAAAGGCTCCAAGGGAATGTACAGTGTGTAAGATAGATGACCATATTTCTAAATTTCTATTAGATCATTGAACGGAAGAGATTACACTGTCAGTGCTTGAGTGTCTAGCCACTTTTTATGCTTTGATTTTGTAACTTTAACAACTATTGTTAGGATGACAATATGTAATGTGTCAACTAATGATTTTATGATGTTAATGTTTTTTGAATTCTGTATTCTATTTCTTTCATTTTTTCTTTGTTTTTATAATTTTCTTTTCTTTCTTTAAATAAAATTTTTAATGTAAATTAATTTTATGTGCCCACTTGGCTAGAGCACAGTTTGTGGGTCTCTCGCCAAACATTTTATTCTGGTTATTTGCCTGAAGACACTATAAATATCATATTAGCACTGAAACTTTATCTTCAGTAATGTGGGTGGGGATTACTTAATCAATTTGAGTTCTTAGTAGAAAACTACCCACCTCCTCCAGAAGGGAGGGCGGTCAGCAGCTGCCCACAGTGTTCGGCTGCAGGACTGGCTCTTCCTGGTGTCTCCACTGTGCTAGCTGTGGACCGCTGGATGTGTGCAGAAATGTGTGCACGTTTACGGGTGCATACACACATGTGCACACACACCCCAGGAACCCTCTCAGCACATCTCTATGGCTCTGCTTCTCTGAAGAACATCCACTGATGTGCAGGCTGCAGCTGCGGCGGTGCTAAGGCAAAACCTGTGACATTAAACACTTAGCAAGAAAAACCAAAGTAAGACCGGCAACTTAGATTCCATCTTTTAAAACCAAGTGGAGCAAATAAACTACGAGTAAATAGAAAAATAAAAGTACAATGTGTGCCCAGAAACAACTGGAATAGCCAGGAAACAAAATAATGTCAAAGAGTGTAATGGAGCAAAATCAATACCAAATATCAATCAAGATTTCAGCAGCCTTTGGAGACACTGATAGTGAAATCTCTATGGACAGCAGTGGCCCTGGGCTACCTAAACCATGGTGACAATGAGGCAGAAATTGTCCCACCCCGAGTTTCAGATTATGCAGCTCTGTTAATTACTCCGTAATGATGTAAAGATAGTTTGACACAATGATAGAACCAAAGAGGAAACTCAGGCCCATGAAAGGGGGGAAGATGGAAGCCGGGAAGGAACAAGTGCTTTTTAGCAAACGTGGTGAACAAATAAAATTATCCTTGATGTTTACATCATTTAAAATTAACTTGAAAATTAACTCAAAATAGTTTGGCACATGTATACTACAAAACAAAAAGTAAAAACTATAGAAGAAAGAAGCAAATATACTTCAACGAAATTAATATCTGTGTACTTTCAGTCAGATCAAGAAGACATAAACACGGAGAACTACTGCAGACACACACATGAATACACATGAGCACACTTGCATATACCTACATGGCATACACTGATGCCTAAAAGTACACGAAATTCTACCATTTTAGTAGTAAATGGATAAACTACTCAGTTAAAATTCTGGCAAACCTGAAAAAACATTTCACAAGGGAAGAATACATAATTCACAGATCAATAAGCACATGAAAAGATGTTCAACATATCAGCATTTTAATACATGTAATGTCTTTAAAGTTATAAAAACAACCACTATGAAAAGTTAATGATGGTATAAAGTATAAAATAACCTACAGTGGCTGATACTTGGTTATTTAGGGTTACTAATGTGGGGACGATTGAACAGTGTACAGAGTTTCTTAGAAATGGAATTGCTTTCTCAATTTGTGATGGTGGTTCCATAGTTTTACACATTTCTCAAAATACATTCACATGTACATTTTCTATGTGTATTTGCACATTAGACTGTATTTCTAAAAGTTGTCACCTAAATTAAGACATAATGATACTGATTTCAACTGAAGTCTGCAGTAATAGAATCAGGGTTCGAATCTCTGTTTTGTCTGAGGTTCCAGCACATCATGCTTTCTCTTAACTTTGGGTTTTAAGTCCTCTAGGCAGAGAACTGTGGGCTCTGATCTGTGGGATTACAGGACAGGTAAGTCCACAGCAAGTGCAGTGTAAGGACTCTGTCCTGGGTTGGATGGCTTACCCTTTGGAAGGATTAGACTTATCCTGAACAAACCCCCAGCCTGCAGTGAGTTCAGCATCCCTCACTATGGTTGGATGAGATCTGACTGCTTTCTGGTGTCTTATGTGTGTGCAGGTCCCTACACTTCACACTGTCTCAGCGAAGTAGCCAGGACGTCCTAGGGCGCTCATCCCAGCAGATCCGCAGAGCCACAGATTGCTTTTGTGCACAGATGGACATGGCTGGGCTGGGAAGCGACCATCCTTCCCACGGTAGCAGAGTGAATCATGGAGATTAATAACAGTCTCCTGGGAAGCCATAGTGCTGTGCGTGGTAACCTGAAAACCATCTCAAGTGTAAGAGAGACCCTGCCCCAGTTGATGCAGACACCCACGTCACTCACAGCAGAAGTGGGAGTTCATGTGAATTCATCACAAAGACCAGGGAAATACATTTTCCCTGGGCCTGACAGAGCAAGCTGAAAATGTGGGCGCTGACGCGCTTAAAATGCATGCAGGGAAGTTTGTGTCAGGAAATGTGACGGCGACTGTGACACGCTGTGCTGCTCTCTGCATTTTAAATTTTGTCAGATTTGTACAAAGCTGACTCTGCGGATGAAAGACGTTCTGAGATGACCCCTCAGGATTTCCTAGTGAACCCCAGATGGCTTCCGCACCACATCTGCTGCCACCCGCCCTGGGCTTGGCTACTGCGGCAGGAGCAGGGTGTCCTGTCCACACCCGCTGCTGTCCACGGGCACCAATAGCCTCTGTTCATTCTCTCCCCCTCCTCCCAGTGATCCTGGAGGGACTGAAGTGCACATTTCTGAATAACAATAAGTGATAGCACTTAACTTTTCACAGGAAAGTGAGAAGGATGTTTCTTCTCCAATGTAAGGAAAAGTTATGATTCTGAGGCATTTTGACATTTCTGTTATAAATAAAGCATTTCTGTAGACTGCTTAGGTAGAATTTCTGAGTTCTGGTTATGCAATAAGATTAAAAACATTAGTTTTTTTGGTGTAGCAGCCAATATACTTGTTAATTTTTTTAAAAAATATATATACTTTGGGGGAGATGAATGCGTATTCTGAGTCTGAATACTTTTAACTGAATATAATGAGAGGTTAATCAATAAATTAAAATCTGCTCCTGATGGAAAACCAGCAATAAAATTATGACAAGATACATTTAAAGGCACACAGCTAATAAACTTTCCAACTGTATTCTCTATTTACTGGCTTAAAAATGACTTTGACACGTATTATTTCCTTTCTCATAGAATATTGTTTCAAATTATGATCCTAGTAGTACAATGCTCTCCAAACATGAGATTCAAGTATTTTCATTTATAGCACAATTCTGAAATATTTATTAAAATAGTTAATATGTTTGCTACAAAACAGAGTCTGCTGTTAACAGAATTATGTGGGTGACAATTTCTTAATGAAATATCAGCCATTAGAAAATCAAAAACATCTTCTGTAAGGAAAACACGTATCAAGATGAAGGAAATGGGACAGGAAAGACATGCAAGAGTGAACATCCGAGACCTGAAAAACATCGGCTGTAGTTTATGACTTTCTTAGATTTAACATAGGATATCTGGTTCACTTGCTTTGTTTCCCAGACTCTGACATCACACACATAACTCATCACCCCGTTCATTTGTCTGATTCTTTCTGCAAACTATAAATATCAGCATCTCTTGCACTGACTACAGAAATTTATAATCGCTCCCAAAAATAATTCTCTAGTGCTCTTTTCCTCTGACTTAGAATTTCTATGATATTATCTTCCCCTAAATTCAAGTAAAGTATTTGAAGTGCCCAAATATTTCTTTACACAAGAGTCTGATATTTGCTGTTGCTGAGTTTCATTTATCTGCTCACAAAATGTCTTCGGTGCTGCTCCAGTCTCTGACAATGTAATTTTGAGCAGCCAGAAAATCACTTATCAAACCGATTTGGAACAAAAAACTTTAAAGCAGACTAAGGAAATGAGTGTAGACTCCTTTCTTCATAGGTTTCCCCACCTCATGCCTTTACAAAGCATTGGATTGATTTTGATCCACTAGTTCATAGAAATGCGAAAATATTGTGATTCTAAAGAAAAATGATTTGTCAAATCTAAAAATAATACTAATTCAAAATAATAAATGATACTTGTTAAAATACAAACATTTGCAGTTATGAACTAGGTTTTTGTTCCAAATGGTTACATTCATCACACTGTGTTTCTAGTTTCTAACAAAACCATTACCTCTTCCAACAAAAGAAGCCTTGGGTTTATAGGGTTTCCATGAAAGAGTTGGGGCTTCCTACAGAGCACTCTTGTTTTCCTCCCTCTTGTGTTGGTTTTGCTGAGAATTATTGGATGCTTTCATCACAATTCTTGGTCCGGCAGCCCTTCCCAGGTATATAAAATAGGAGAAGACACTTGGGGGAAAGGAATGTCTGGGCTCCCCGGTGTTCCACGGATTGGGTTGCAGTGTGTGGCTCTGTGCTCTCCGACTTCCTCCTCTGAGGAACAAGGTATGAAGTGCCCAGGACGATTTTATTTGGAATTTATTTTACAGGAACCTAATCATCACGGTAAGTCGTTAATGACCAACAGTGCTCTAACTTGGCTCGTGTCTGCACGGCCGGGGGACTGGGTTAAGGTCACTGAAAATTTCACGGTTTTACCATTTAATATGAGAGTTGGCAGTGGGACAGGAATACTTCGAATGTCACCTTTGAGTCAGAGCAAACACACATCATAAGAAGCTTCCTGTTCTTAATTTTGAATTCATTTCACATCGCCAGAATGCACGCATTTGTAATATATCTTGAAGCTTTTCTATTGAAAGGAAGAAAATGAGGGCTAAAAATTACTGTGAGAGTCTTCCTAGTGGAGCAGTGTGCTTGGAGGAAGTCACTGGAGATTAGCTGGATGACTGGGGCTCAGGATGACGGCCGGTCCTGCTGGGAACAGGGTACCGAGCCCTCCCAGGCATCTTTAATCAGAAAAATGTGCGCTGATATCTGCGGAGAGCCTGGAGCCTCAGCGGAAGAGTTATAAATTCAAGCAAATCTGCTAACTCTTTCCCTCTGCAGGGCCAACCAAGACATCTTAACTACCACAATTTCTGAAGACATTAAACTGCATATGCACATGTACCAAAGCAGCGAGAGCTCCAAATTCAGGGTCATGATCTACAGTGACTCTACTGATGGTGTACGCCATGCTGCTTTCATTGTGCAGAATTCATTTCCTGCCATATCTGTTGTTTGGGTGTGGAGGTTCTGACCTGTAGAGTCGGATCTTGGGGGTTGGGGATTTGCTTACAGACTTGTCTGTTATGCTAATGATCTGATTCAGAAGCTCACCACTGCAGAAACAGTATATATACTTACCAATTCTTAGAAATGAACATTAGTGTGTTACAAGTTTTCCACAAAGTTGGTTGCCTCATGAAGTACAAGAAATTCTGCAATTTCATATTTTTCATTATGCTGGAGATTTCTGTTAACTCTGATCGCTCTAAATTTTTGTCTTTTATTAAGAAACAATCAATGCCTGGAAATGTGTCATTTGTTTGCTCTCTTATATTGTTTCTTAGTACTGCTGCTGTCTGTTTAATGACACCAGTGTCATTGTGCAGGCAAATTTCTCTGAGAGTGTTCCATTTCTGCTTGAATGTGGACCTCAGCCCAGGGAATCTGTCTCAACAACAGTGCTGAAATGGGCTGAATGCAGTCCAGTGTATGGATTGACTCCAAAGATGCTGGTGCTTTGAATCAGCAGACTTTACAAGTTACAAATGTTTTCTGACCTCTTCTGACTCATTAAGATTTTTAAGAACTCAATCAAATGTTTCTTACCCAAAGAGACATAAAAAGACAAAACTATCAGAGAGCTGCGGCTGCTTGGAGAACTTGGAAACGATCAGCCAACCCTCAGCCTTTCACAAACACTGTTGCCTGCTATGTGATTATGGGTCGTTCATTGTTAAATCAAATAAATTGTTAGATTATAGCTTTTAATAGATAAAAATTAATAAAACTCTATCCATGTTCATTAATTTATCAACTTTGGCTATCTACTTGTTTATCAAATAGTTGAATGGAGAATCTCTAAAAATATTCTATAGTGCTTAGTAAAAAATTTTCTGGCAGTCATTAGAAAAAGAATTCAGCACGTTCAGTTTCTCATTAGATTTTTGGAGAATGTATTCTAAATCTCCAGAGATTTAATGTAATAAATGTAGTTATTCTAATTACCATTTGTGTCTTCCGGAGTAATAAAATAGCAGTCATAAACATAATAGTTGGGATTGTTAATTACGGAACTGATCTCACAAGTATAATTTCATAATATAGAAAAATATACAATATTTAGTGATTAAATGACAGAAATTCTTGAATGTCTATATTAGTTTTACAGACCAAATACCTTCAAGCTCATGCACCAGAAAGATATGGATGTATGTAAATAATGTGCATATGTACATGTGTGTGTGTGGGCATATGCTTATCCTCTATAACACATACTGGAAGTTTAGTTATATAAAAATAATTCAGTTTAAAAACCACATGTCCTGTATTTGTTACTCTAGAAACCTAAACATGTCTAAGTGAGGACAAAGCTCACCATGGTTCCTGTGTGACCCCGATGCTACTGACCCGGTTCAGCAGGACACGCTCTGACTTGTTTTTTCTAATAAAAGTGATGAATCTCTTTGCAAAAGCAACACATTTTCCTGGCTGAAAACAGTATCTTTGGACAAGAAATAACTACCATATTTTTAACAACTAAGTTAACTGAGAAACAAAGGAGACACATAAAATTTTGGCAATTTTTAGTTATTTTTCCTTAAAGCACTAACACTGATGAGACCGGGGACTCCTGGCAATCAAGACTTGAATCTAGGTGTCTCAGCCAACAATGATTTTTTACAGTGTCTAGTTCTGGGATTTCCAGGCTATTTCTGTAACAAGATGTGATGTTTCCAGTAATGCCAATTGTCCGGAAATGCTCAAAACTAATGCTATTTAACAGTCAAAATTCATAGTTTTGGACAGTTCTATGCATATTAAGTAGAGAAATTAAGAATAAGACAAATACGTGGCACTGAATAGTCATGGTGGAAGTTATTTATGTACAGGAAGTGTACAATCATATCAGGGATGTTTTCACCACTGGAGAGCCTGAGATCTATTGCTGAATCAAAAAGAAAATGCTTTATTTTAAGTAGGAAAATATTTAAGAAAAATGGCGCATTTCTTAGTATCTGTCTCTAGAAAAGTTAAGAGTAAAGCATGAAAGGAACTATCAAATTAAGAGGTATTTTTGAATAGAGAATTAACTTGGATTCTTTTATTTCTCTCCTTACCCATTACGCATTCACTGGTGCATTAGACAGTTACTGACCTCTGGGTCGGAGCCACCGACTGTGCTTGCCGAGCCAACCCAGGCTGATGAAACTCAGCCTCCGACCACAAAAGCGCACAGTTCTGGGGTGGAGGAGGGAGAAAAGGGAACAACTCAGCCACAGACACACAGGCCACAGGGAGACAGAGCAGCAGTGCAGGAGCAGGGCTGCCGGCTGCTGTCTAAGTCAGGGAGGGACGAGGGACAGCCCTCTACCCTCTGTCTTCCCAGTGGAACACATGTGTTGAAGATTTAAGAACCTAGCAGAACTCCCTGAATAACAGCACGCTGAAGTACTAAATGGCTCAAAATTCAAAGATGATGGATTAAAAATGTTAATAAAATGACCTGTGGACATGACTGAGATGAGTGGAGGAGTAGAGGAGACCCTGATGGTCAGTGCTTCACGGTCAATGGCTGCACAGTGGCCACCCTGACCCCGAGGCTCCCCTGGAGCACACGGCACTGTGGCTCAGGTGCTAGGGTGAGCGGCATGGGCTCATCTGCTGCTGGAGCAGGGAGGTGGCACAGACAGCAGGTACAGGCTGAAGACTCCACTGCTCGCCCTTGGGATCTGATGCCTGCTCGGGGGCTGCTGTGAGCAGCCTGCCTGTGCCGCTCCTCCTCTGGGGGCTGTGCTTCTGTACAAGGCATGGCTGGCCTCCTCCTTCCAAAGCAGCAAGCTCAGCCCCTACAGCACCCTCTGGCCTGGGGCCTGCTCTGAGTGGAGCTAACAAGGCCTTATCTGTGGAGCAAAGCAAGTCACCGAGCTCACCCCAAGGGCGAGAAAGTGTGCCATGCTATTGCAGGAGAGTGAGGAGATTTTTCTCTAGTGATGCAGAGTTTAAAATCTCAGGCAGGAAGAGTCCATGGCACAGACTAGACCTGAAAGCAAGAAACAGAACAAACCATGGTCAGCACAGACTCAGGTACCACAGCCCTCGCAGACAGTGAGGGCAGACTGTCACAGAGGAAGTGAACGGAGTAAACCCACTGGAGGCGGCAGGGGAGGAAGGGACAGAAACAAGCTGAAGATGTGGTCAGCACCACTGAAGGTGGGGGAGCGCTCAGAAGGAGAAAGGATGTGGCCTTGAGTGGAGTGCTACAGGAATTTGTACCTTTTGTCTGACTGCTCTGACTCAGAATGGGCTGCAGGAGGACCGCTGCGGGGTCTCAGGGCAGAGAACATGCGGCAGGGGCTGTGCCCAGCAGCCGCAGGTCCCAGGATGGGCACATGCCTGGGATTTCTTTCATTACCGATGGTTTTACTAGGAAAGCCAGTAGAGGTTTGGGTGAGTAACAGAGCACTGAAAGAAAACATTTCTGTGATCTATAAGAAGCTTTTTTGTGCAACAAAATATCAACAAACAAAATCCACTGACATGAAAAATGTGTCCACCATGAGCACGTGGGGCAGCAGTGGCACACCTATGGCATGCGTGCCACAGCAGCTGTTGGTTATTGTGTAAAACTCGGAAAGGTTCACCATCCCAGACTCAGGGTGTACCAGGAACATCGGCCGGAATTAGCATGGGGGAACCAACTGGCATAATATGTCACACCTTACATTAAGGGACAGAAAATCAATAGATATGCAAAAACATTAACAAAGACTGACACCTAAACTCTCAGTGACTTCAGCCAGATGAAGGTCATATACAAAAACAAAACAAAACAACAAAACGTCTTACAGCTTGCGCTATACCTGATATCCAGAATGGAACAAGGTGTGATAAAGAGATACAAACCATGTAGATCGGAAAGAAAGCTGGAAGGCTGCCCTGACCCAGAATGACAAGGGCCTGCACTCAGAGACTCAAGTGTCCCCTCAGCATCTGCGAGAACCAAGACACAACTTCAGCAATTTCACTGCCTGCATTTCGACACATGATTAATGCACAGCCCAGAAATAAAACTAAGAACAAAGTTCCATTCCAATATCAACTGATCAATGGATAAAGAAGATGGGGGATTTTTTATGCAACTGAGTACTCATTGGTCAAAAAGAAGGATATATTTTAGACATTTCTAGGTGAACGGATCTACCTTGAGAACCCACACTTAAGTGAAATGAATTGAACACACATGTTCAAATATCACAGGGCTTCTCTGGTGTGAGAAACTGAAAGTATAAATAAGCACCAATATATATAATAGGTATTGTAAAGTAGGAAGAAAATGGAATAACATGTTCAGGTCAGAGATACATTTAACAGAAGAAGTGCAGGAGTTGCTCACACCTGGCACAAGGAGCCCACACTGGATTTGTGTGCACACTTACCGACTCCCGTGATGAATGCAAGCATTGCGTGCTGCAAATCTGTAACAACAAAATCAAAAACCATAAAAATGGAACATGTAGGGATCTACACAGCTGAAATGAGAGTCCAGAAATAAATCTGGCCATTTATGGTCAACTGCTTTTCAGCAAAGGTGACAAAGGAATTCAAGAAAAAAATGAACTTTCTTTTCAACAATGAGAGATCTAAGGATGAAAAATTAATTTTGACGCTTGCCTCATACTACAAGGAAACTTGACTCAAAATGGGGCATAGACCCACAAAGAAGAGAGAACATCTTTTCAGAAGAAAAGAGTATCTTTGAGATGGACACATACGCATATGTACAGATACACAAAAATAAAAGCAGCTAAACAAAAGGATCTGTGGATGACTCATCGACATATAAAAATGTTCAACATCATCAATCATGAGAAAAATGCAAGTTAAAGTCACAGTGAGCTTCTGCACGTTGGTATTTCGGTGGCTGCTCTTGGCTGAGGACACCGTACAATCACAGCGCAGAGTAGTGGCCATACAGCTGACTGATGTGTCTCTGAAGTCCATGACCTCTAGGCACCAACTTGTGAACAGGGAACTATACACACTGCAGAGTAAGCAGACTCGGCAAGGGATAATATGAGACCAAGCAAAAGAGGGCCTGCTTGCCAACAGCTGCCCAGTGCTGGGGAATTTGGAAAAGAGGAACATGAGATGTGGCACAAACGCGGCGCTTCTCGGCACCGCGGCAAGGGGAATTCAACTGGGCGAAGCACGGGGAAAATTAATAGCGTCTACGCACACTGGGTGTCAGTGCACCAGGTGATTTGTATCACTAGAAGGGTACCAGAAAGGAAACCATGCAATATTCTTCTTCCATAAAATTTTCTGGAGCTTGTTTTTAGAAATCAAGTGAAAGCGCTCTGAGATATTGCACACCTACTGCTATTCTGTTAAAAAAAAAAAAGATAATAAATGTTGATGGTTAATCGCCTGTTTTTGATAGGAAAGTAGAACTGTACAGTCACATTTTAAACAGTGAAAAGTTTACAAGCTGAATGTGAATTTTCCATAAAACCCTTTATAATACATTTCTGGAGATTTCCCCAAGAGAAACAAAAATGTGTCCACACAACAGAACTACATATGAATGTCCATAAAAGCCCAAACATTTGTCAGTTCATGAAGGACTAGACAAAATATTCTATATCCATACAAAACTGTACTTTAAAAAGCAATATGCAGCCAGGTGTGATGGTGCATGCCTGTAATCTCAGCATTAGGGAGGCCGAGGCAGGAGGATGGCGTGAGTTTGAGGCCAGTCTGGGCTACAAAATGAGTTCAAGGCGGACCTGAACTACACAGCAAGACCCTGT